TTATACTTTGTTTTATTTATTTATTTTTTTTTTTTGGTTACTTTGGAATTTAGGCTAATCCTTGCTAGAAGCATTGCTCTTTCTAGGTGGATAAAGAAAGAGGAAAATTGCAGGTTCTTGGAAATTCATAACTAGCAGCAATTTGGCCAAACATACGTGTGAATTATAAGTCTTATATCAAAGAACAAGGTGTTTCTACTGTTGCATTATTTGGTGCATCCTCTTTAACTTGACAGGGTATGCTAAGAAAATTTAAGTATTTTTGTGTGTGTTTAAATTTTTTTTCTATTTTCTGTAGAACGAATTATTTAGTGTTGCCTGGATTGTTGTATATTATGAAAAGACAATTGATTGGGTCAAATGAAAATGGACAACTACGTAAAAATAAAAATAAAAAAGTAATGTCAATCTCAATCAAAATATCTTATGCTTGATGATATTTATTGTCCTATTTTGGGTTCTTTTGTTATTCTTGTATAGTTGATTGTTTGGTTGTAGTGCATTCTGGAGGATGCAGCTAATCGTTTTTTTTTTTTTTTTTGGTATATTGTACTGAGGTCATCTTGATGCGATAAACATGAGATATTCTATTTTCCAGGTGGAGGTGTTTCGATGTTTATAATCGGCAATGGGAGGCTGCATCCACTTAAAGATTATGAGGTAATAAAGAGTAAATCCACAATGGTAGTGTGAGCTTCATATTTGTTAAACTTTGCATCTTTGAAGGTGATGGAGTAACAAGCTTTCTTAATGGAATGTAGATGTCTACCACTTTTGTATATATACACTTTGTCTTTAGATTGCAATAATTAGTTGCATTTACTAAATGTTTGACATTGATTGGAATGTCAAGTGATGTTTGTTTTGTTTTATAAGCTTTTCATAGTCATTCTTTCGGTAGTTGACTTATATTTAATTCTATTTGTTTTCTTTGATCATAATTCACATATTACAGATGCATTCAAATGTTCATGACGTTACTTATGAATTATATATTTAAAACAATTAACATGGGCCGGCCTATGCACGGCGATAGCCTGCTAGTATATCTTATTTTTCTCTTATCTATACAAAGGAACTCCTACCTTCATTTTACAACACGTGTACAACCTTTTCTCATTAAGCCACGTCGCCCTCCTCAAAACGACGTCGTTTAGTTAGAGCAAAACAATGTCATTTTGAAACTTTTATTTCTCTAACCCTACGGCTTGGGTGTGTTGTTTCTCTGCAGAAAAAACGTTCCCCAATTTTTTTTGCCTTCAAATCTAAATCTATTAATCTTATTTCCTATGCAAATTCTTGTTGTTTTTTTTTTTAAATTCTCGTTCCGCTTGAAAATAGCCTCCAAAACTCAGCTTGTCGTTCATTCTTACTATGCAAAAATTTGATTTTGTAAACGATTTCGAAACTCATTATTCTATTGTCGGTCGGTACGGCCGCGATCGCGTCTACGGCGATGCAATTTCCCTCACTTGTGGACCGATGGATCAAAGCTTGACGCCATGGTGTCCGCGGTGTCAAGAAGAGCCGATTACAGTGTCTTTGCTATTTCTGAAGTAAGTTTTTTTTTTTTTTTTTAAAAAAAATTTTAATAAATTTACAATTTAGGTTACATGATTCAGTATTCGATTTTTAAAAATCGATTCTTGGATATTTTTAAAGCCTAGATTAGATTTGTATGTGTCTGATTTCTTTTTGCTTTTGTTTGTTCTTTTTTCTTAAGAGAGGTTTATGTGTAGGTTTATGCGTCTATGTGGTACTTTTATTTTTAAATATAATTTCCTTAATTGGGGGAGACTAAAGAGTAACAGAAGCTTCTGATGGCATAATTACATTAAGATCTTGCAGGTCATTTTTCAGTTTATGTTAGTATATATATTGTGTGTGTGTTGTATCATTTGAGGCCGTCCATTTTTTTCTAATCAAGTTGTTGAAATCAGGATTGTTTTGTTTCTTTTATGTGTTTCCTAGAATTTTTGCCTAAAGAGGGCATTGTTGTTTGCTTTGGTGCTGGACTCTAATTTTCTTGGATAAGTTCATGTAGATTTGACTGTTTATATCAATGTGCTAATCGATCCTAAAAAGAGCATGTAGGGCGAAGGCGGTTCGGTTTGTGGATTAGTAAGCATATTTTGTAAAGTGGGCTACTTCATTGAGGTGATTTTATAACTTCCAAGGAAAAATTATGTGAGATGTTCTGCAATACGCGGACACTCATTCACGTGAACACTCATTTACAATTCCTTTTGAAGATATGATATATGATGAACAAGACATACTTCGCTCCATGGAAAGGATATGGTTCTCTCTTTCACCTACTTTATTTGCTTGTTTGTGTCGATGTTAGATTTGGATTCTCGTGATGTGCTTTGGCTTTGTTGATGATTGGGAAATGGTTTCATGGGTCTTTTTGTTGTTTGATGGAATCTGAGTTTTCTAATGATGGTCATTAAGTTCAGTATTTGATTCAAGAAATGGGTTGTAGGGCAAATTAAGAGTGCAAAGGCTTACTGTTTTGATGCATTCAATCAGATTCTGTTTTTTCGTCTTGCATTAATGTTTCTCTCGTTTCATTTTTTAGATTAATGTATTACGTAAATTCATGTTCCTGCCTTGTTTTCATTTTATGTTTGCCATTGAAGGTTAAGTGAGGCTCTAACTTAATATGATTAGATTGTTGCCCAGGATTTGTGTCATTTGTTTTTGGTTGCTGGTTTATGAGTGAGGATACCTATAGTGTTACTTTGAGATGCTTTGCATAATTCATAAACAAAGAAATTATAATATGTTTTGAGCATATATTATATACTTAAATTATCAACAATTGTTAATTATTGAACACATACACATGGTTATCATACAAGATCCTCAATGATAGATTGGAATGAAATTGAAAATATTAGGAATTTACTATGAATTATGTTCTTGTTTGCTTTTTACATAATTCTATCGAAGGAGAAAAATATTAATGTTGCTACAGATCATACAAAAACAAGTATATGACATAAAACTAAAATCTTTATAACGAGTTATCACTCCACCCTTTGTTAATTACTTTGAGTTAGGAGTTTGATGTATCTATGATTCTAGACACTAATCAATGTAGTATTTTTACTAAAATATTTTATTTATGGTTTCAATGTTTTACTTTTTTATTATTTTTTATTAATTTCCAAGTACAAAATAATATTCTACTTGAAAAGAAAAGAAAAAGATTTAACGTGGGCCGGCCGTGTTGTGCACGTATGAAGATATAAAAGGCCTTAAATGGCGACAAGTGGCGATGTTATTTGATTGACATTTGGCATTTTATTGGTTAATTATTGAAATGCCCTTAATTGAACAATTATTTGTAACTAATTTGAAGGTCAATAAGGTAATTTGATATACTTTGTAGTTGTGAGTGTTTAGACTCAAATGCCCTTCTCTATTCAACTTTTTTGAGGTTGTATAGGTCATTTTATGTGTTCTTTCTTCACAGATATTCTTGCGGGATTTGCTCCTCAAAATCTGCTGCGACATTTATGGCTTCCCCTCTTTGACAATTGATTTGATTTTCTGAGATTGGGGTTGGCGGTATGGTTGCACCTCTCTCTTTCACTTTCACTCTCTCCGATCTAATTTTTCTATTCTCTAGCTCCCCTACAACCTGTTTGCAATTCTCTCTGAAAAAAAAAAACAAGTGGACAAAATATATATGTTTGTTTATTTATTTGTTAAAGTTAGTGAAAAATAAGGTGTTGTTTCAGCTTCTGAGAATGCCTTCAAGGAACTTTTCACCATTCTTCCCAAGCCTGGTGGGGGTAAATTTGGGAAGTTTTACAGTCTGCCTGCTCTAAAAGATTCGAGGATAGGTAATTTATTCTTAATATATTCTTATGTTATCTCATTCGTTTCATATGTCATATATCTTATATTTTGACAAGCTGATTTTTATGATACTGACCTTATTAATTATTAACTTTGAAATTGATAAAAGCATTACTATTTGGTGACCATTGTTTTTATTATGCACAGTATGTTATTTCTACAAGCATTAATGTTATATTTTGTATGTTGACATGCGGCATTAATTTGTGAATTTAATTAGGTGCCCTTTTTTTTTTACCAACAACCAAAAAAGCTTAAACACTAATTTTTAGGGCTAATTGGGTCGATTGGATGGCACCTCAATTGTTATGGCTTTTTGGTGAGACGTGCGTAGTATATCATAGATGTCTTTCATCCTTTGTTGACTGATTAGATTCTTTGAGGTTGCGTTCATTCTGGATTTCGGCTTCAACATTCATCTGTTGGATTTTGTCGCAACGAAGCCCTAAATTTTGTCATTAGCGGTTGGAGACAAGTTGTTTGCTTCTGAGGTACCGAAGGCCTAAATATTTTTGCTCCGGGGCCTGAATGTTTTTGTTTAGGTCGTTGTTGTGTTTTTAATTTCATGCCCGTTCATTTTCGCTTTTCTTTGACCTGCTTATTGAAAGTGTGATGCTGGTGACCTGCAGGGCGTGTTTTAACTTTTCTTTTTTAGGTTGTGCTCATTAAATTTAAGGATGCTGGTTTCACTATTTTTTTGTTCTAATATTGATTTTTCCTGGATGTCTGTTGATGTCATGGTTTTTTTTTTGTATTGTTGTGTCTTTATTGGGGCCTGCTGGGAGATTGTAAGTAGTCTGGGTAAAGTGACCTTTATTGGGGGCTTTTTAGGTTCATGGCATCCGATGAAGATCTGCCATTGCACTGCGACGGAGCATTGCAAACCGCAAAAGATGTTTCTACTGACGGACGTCAAAGAGAGGCTGGTTTACAGAGGTGGAGGGATAACAAGTATCAACAGTCCGCTGCGGAAGTTGCTTCTTCATCGGGTGCTGGTCGTGCAATTACGCGCTCTGGTACATTATACTGGCTTTTGTTTTTTAGTGTTCTTTAATGAGCTCTGCAATGTTGTTATTGCTTATGTTGTAATTGAAGAGTTGTGTGTGACATTTATGGTTCGGTTTGTTCAGCCACTGTCTTATCATACACGGATCTCCCGTAGCGCCGTCGTAGAACAACAGAACCTGCACAGGCCGTTTCTGTGGATAGTCATGAAGGAGAAGCTGCTTTACAGAGGTGGGCATCCAAGGTCGGCTGTGGATGTCAGATCTTGGATAGGTGCCTGTCACTCGGTCACGCGTTCAGGTATACATTCATTTTTTGGGCATGCCTGTGGCACTTTGTTTGTGTCATTATTTCCACGCTCATGGTTGGTTTTGTTGTAGTTCTTCTGCTTCTTTACTTTTGTCTTTTGTTTTTATCGGATGTCTTTTGAATTTACTTTTTTTCATGGGGTTCATCGTGTCGGTTGTTTTACAGCACACCTAATTTACAGTTTTATCAGTCTGAATGTTGCGTGCTTTTGCAGCTGCAGCTGGCCTGTCTGTGTTACAAAGGTTGCCGACTGAATGTGGCGGACCATCTAAATCCACGCGTGCACACCGTTCTGCAGGCGGTGTTATGCGAGATGGCAGTGACAAGAAATCGGAAGAGTAACATGCACATGAAAATTCAATACCCGATGCTGCTCAGAAGACCGACGGAGATTCTGTTGGTCAGGATAGTTAACATGTACACATTTTCGGCCGCCCAAGGTGGAATGGACGAGTCCCTTTCAACAAGTTGTGCAGTTAACACAGGTTACCCATGTTGGTTTCATGTTTTCGTCGTGTTCAGTTAAAACTTTTTTTCCACACACCGAAAAACTATTCATCCTTTTTTTTTATATTAGTTACACAACCCAATGACGGCCGTCGGATTTTAGATGCTGTGCCTACAAGCATATATGCGCTGCTGACACAGCGAGATTGCACGTACTGTGGTGCCAAAAAAATCATTTATGAAACTATCAAATCTTGCCGTTTTGAGGCGCTATTAAATTGGCCCTCATCCAGTACCACCACTTTTAAAGGATCTCCCCTTCTCAAACACTAATGATGCGAATTTTTTTAGGACTTGCATTTGTACAATAAATAATCAGTTTGCATTCACGTCTTTGGGAGTGCGGTATGATTGAATTTAATTTGCCTTGGCCGTAACATACATGCCATTTCCATGATTGAATTCTCAAGCAAGTAGCCTTTATGGTTGAAGATTACTTTCCAACAAGCAATGTACAAATCCTCAATGGATTTCGTTGCTCATTATATTTATAAGTGATGCAAATTTTCACTATATTTTTAGAC